ATCCAAATCCAGCATTTTTGTGAAATTGAAAACAATTATCAATATACAAGGTGAGCTACCTGAAAAACTTTTCGCTTGAGGCATAACTTCAATGTGTATTGCCTGTGCAATGGAAATATTTTCGAAATTCAGACAGATTTGAATAAAAAATCGGCCCTCGACAAATGGAATTTAGAACTTCTGATGTGAAGTGACTCGATTGAAAACACTTTCCTCACCAGTACAAAAATACTGTCTCTCGACTAGCGTTTCGCTAGCCCATTCAGCATCTTCAGGAGATGACTAGGACAGTTTTCGAAACAAAATTTTATTCCAACCTTCTACGTGTGTTCTGTACATAATCTATAAGAAAAATATCATTTTCCGCTATATGTCAATCATAGTATTTATTCTGATCTGATACGTTGATTATCGATCTATTCTGTTCGGTTCAATTCAAGATTTTGCACGGAGCGTAAAAAAGTTGCAAACGGAACAGCAAAAGTTGACAAGACGGTTCATTTATGAAGGTGAAGGACGGTTAATAAGTGTATTCACTGCGATTCGCAAATAATCGAAATTCAATGTCAGCGGCGTGACTAATACAATAAAGTCGATACTTCCTCTGCGCTATACGTGAACAATAAAAACCCTGGTAGACTGTGATGGGTAGAATTCAATACCATTTCCGATGATTTTCATTACTACAGGGTAATCAGAGGGTGTGAAATTTCTAACAGTATACAGTGTGATCCACTTGAATTGTAAAGATCAAAAAACTGTACTTTGGGGCCAAAACATCTTTTTTTTTCTACAAAAACCAAGGCCTGCTGCAAATTTTTTTAAAGGTTAAAATAAAAGAAATCGTGTTAGCGATTTTTTAGGAAAAATTAAAAATCGCCCTTGGAGTGGGCACCCTCTCAAATGGTGGTATACCAAATTTCTTCAAAAAATATTCAGTATTAATAATTCTGTGGTCAAATCAACATTGTATCATGATAGAATATTAACTGCACACCTCTTAAATGGTTTACAAATCTTGGTGAGTTGGCCGTGAAACACCGTGCGAATATGCAAAACCGTGCTCTTTTCATTTGGCACTGGAAACAAAAGACTATTGTTGATTATTATTGCTGCTATCAAAAACTCTATTGAAACAGTTACGTCAGATTAGGCCCGATTAGTGAGAAAAATATTCTGCAAAGCGATATGAATTAGTGATTCATCATAGGAGAACTAAGTGTGCGAGATAAAATTGATCTCGTGCGCCTTGTCTGAGATAATGCTCTTTCGGCAAGATAATCTGCCAGAGAGTTTCATAACAGATATCCTGATGAACTGCCTGCCAGTAAGAAGCAGTACGGTGAACCGTATAAATTCTATTTTTAACATTGTGAGAATTGAAATGGTGTGCGAATATTGCAATATTTTCGTAGTAATCCTCATTTAAGCTTGCGAACGGCTACTTTGAACTTAAATATTCCTAGAGGAAATATCAAGAGATGCCATGTAAAAAATAAAACTAAACCATTCAAGACAAAAATTTTACACACTCTTCAACCGGGAGATGAAGAAAGAAGGTTAAAATTATGTTTGTGGGCTCGAAGAGAATATTTGAATGACATAATAAACTTCTTCAAAACAATTTTGTTTGGTGATGAAGCTACATTCACTACAAAAGGAGTAGTTTCGTCCAATGATTACTTGATCAGAATGAATATGTTCATTCATTTACTCAATTTGCCACATAGTTATCAATGAAAACTCGATGTTTATTAGCACTATTTATTTGCTTCAGCTGTATATATGTATGTATGTTTGTTTGTATTTGATAAAAGTATTTTTTTAACACGCTTTTATTAGCTTCACCTGTATTATTTCTTGATCTATTCGCGGGCAGATGACGCTGTACGTAACCTTCTTGATATACTTCGAACTCACTTTACATGTACTTCTTCATTTGAAAAAAGGATTTTTTGCGCGCCTGCTGCGCGCCTGCTATCATCACCATTAAGGACGATAGTGTTTCATGTTAGTGACATTTTATATCGATACTCCTCCATATACTATGTGTAGCATTAATATGAATGATATCTGTTTCAATTCCATAACGAATGTTTGGAAAAAAAACTGTCGTAATTTAACTTCTGTGCTTCATCAACATATCTGTATAAAGAGTTTTCATTGTAGTTATTTTCCTTCTTCACATATTATTTTTTCTTCGGAGAATAATAATAATAATAATAATTCTTTATTCTCCAGAAGGACAATACAAGTATTGTATAGGAGTAGTCGTTCATCTAAAATTAACAGAACATGATAACATTCAGTTAAATTGTATATAACAAAACAGTAAATTTGCAGATATTATAGTCATTCATCTATAGTATAGAATAATTGTGTAACACATATATACATATACAGACATATATACATATATTCACCCAAATACACAAATAACAGACAAATCATAAAGGATTTACAAATACTTATTATAGTGCCTGATCGACTTTATAATAGCATCTTTCAATTAAAAAATGTTTTAAGTTTTTTTTTAAATAAAAATATCTTTG